AGGTATTTACCATATGACAACATGGAAAAGGAAGAACATAGCATTATTGTTTACAATTTTAATATATGTTGTTAATTCTTTAATCAATGTTTTGCTTTTCAACTATTAATTCTGAATCGTAAACATCCATTTTAAAGAAGATTATAATCTTTTAATTTTTTTAACGTTGTTAATTTTGTAATATATTTTTTTATTGTATGATGTATAAAAAAAATCGTGTATATAATGAATATAGAAAATGTTATTTTTTTTTTTTTAATGTTTTCAAATTAGATAAATAAATATATAAGTCTTATAAACACAGGGATGAAATTAGTATTCAAAGATAGTCGATGAGATGAGAAAGTTAGAAAACTAAAACTAACATTACACTAGGGGTGGCAGTGTTAATTTTCAAAACCTAGAGGCACTGTTCATTATTTCATCATTCGTAATGAGAAAGAGAGACATGTGAGAGACTGAGAGTCGACCATCTTTTTCGCCATTCCTAATGTTTATGGGTGTATGCAGGCAAGACTGTCTCAAGAACATTTGTGACCATAGGTAAAAGTTACTTTGGGGATCTTCTAATAATATAAGCATATATTAAAAAAATTATTTCAAGTTTATTTTTCTTGCCTTTTGAGATGCAAAATCACTAGGAGAGGTGGACAATGACCGGCGGGCTAACAAGGTTAGGTTGGTGGGGGGTTTTGGAGAGCAGATGCTGGAGAAATGATGGGTGGTGAAATGGGTGATTTCCAATGCCAAGATTGACCGAAAAATACTTGAGAAGTCGCGGTCCAAAAGGTATCAGTGACCGGCGATTGGCGGAGTAAACAGATGAGGTATGATAGGGGTAGGCTGAAGGGAGGAAGATGGTGGTGTTGGGGAAGGCCAACGATGCCATTTACATGCCGAAAATGCCAAAAATGGTTGTCGCATGCGGTGGAGCTAGGTTGCGAGATTTGTAAAAAAAAATCAATCAAATCGAGGGCTATCAAGGCTAGGAAAACACTTGGAAAATGATAAATTGATGGTTCCGATCGATTTTGGTGAGAAAATCGACTGGAATTAACTCTAAACGATCGGCGACAGAAGAGAGGTGGAGATGATTTATGTGAATGTCGAATTTTGGGATTGAATTGGGGGTGAGTAATTTGAGACATATAAATGACCATTTTAGCCTTTCATTGTTAAAAGAAATTCAATGTGTTAATTTAACGGTGTGAATTAGAATATATAAAACTAGAGGTACAAACTTACTATTTCATCAAACTTTGGGTGGAAATATATGTAAAAAGTATATAATAAAATTGGGCCTTTTGGTTTTTTTGGGGGGGCCATTGGATTGGCCTAGATAAGAAATTATATACTATTTTTATTTTTGTAATATATTCAAAAAAAAAAATTATAAAAAGTTTGGCCCTTTTTGGCCCTATTTTTTGGGGCCCTAGACAGGTGCCTCACCTGCCTACCCCTTGAGCCAGTCCTACTGCTTTATTTTACGTTTTAGATTATATGTAAAAATAGATCATTTTTCAAGTTAATAACAATATTTCCCCTTAAATATAATTAAATTACAAATATTTATTGTGATTAAAGTAATAACAAAAGTTTTCTTTTCTTACTATCAATTTTTTGATATAAAAATATATAATAAAGGGGTGTTTAAATAAATATCCATTAACTCATCTAACTAAAAATTCTAACAGCATACTAACGACTCACTAAAGTTATGGGATCTGTGTTGTTTTTGAAATCTTTAGAGAAATTTTGTTATTTGATTAAAACTTAGGGAGTTCAAAAACTTAAATTTTTTTTTTTTTTTTTATCAAAATATGATTGTTATGTGATTGATAACCTTTTCTTTTAATTCACTTAAATTCATTTAATAAATTTAAGTTGTTTTATGAAGAATAAATTAATCTCGCATATAATATATTAATTCTTTTATCTATAATATATTTGTTAAAATTATCGAATGCACCTAAAGCAACAAAAACAAAATGTTAGACATCCTTGCTTGCGCTAGCAAACATAAAGACACAAAGGCCAAATATTATAAATATTTTTTAACTCTATGTTTCATAGATGAATATTTTTTTTTTCTTTTTTGGTAATTGATAATTTTATAAAAAATAAAGAATTAAAAACTAAAGGAAAACCTTGATAAAGCTATGACAAGGGAAAGTTCACTACAAACAAAAAAAAACCAACGAAGTTTAAGCCTTTACAAGAACAACCCACTCCTTATAAAACAACAAAACAAGGAAGCCTAATCACAAGACCTCAGGAAAGCCAAATGTAAAAACAAACAAACAAAAACAACAGCTGCAGCTAGTAAAAACCCAACCCAGCCACAAAAAATTTTAGCAACAGCTCACGAAAAGTGAAAGGAAAAAGGCCAAACCAAACTACTGCCATCTGCTAGCAGCCATGGGACACAACACCCACCACAGCAGAAAAAGAAACTAGCCTCCCAATTAGGCCTGCAAACGAACCGAACACGAACGAACACTTCCGTTCGAAACTCGTTCGATAAGCATCAAGAGGAGTTCGAAATCGTGTTCGAACTCGAACGAACACAGAATGGTTGTTCAAGTTCGTTTGATTAGCAAAACGATCTGTTCGTGATCGTTTGATTAATCGTTCGATTAACTCGTAAATACATGTTCGAATAACTCATTCGAACACCTGTTTGAATAAAAAAAAATACATCAACTTTCCAATTCATGCTCTAAAAAACAAATATACACCCATTGAATTCAGCATTTGAAGAAAATGTAGCTTGAGCTGAAGATAACTATAACTGAATTTTTCTGTATTGAATGAATAAATGTACAAAAACAGAACAATTTGTTCTTTTATAGACAAATACAAAACTCACCGTTTAGTCACTACTTTTAGACTTTACAAAATTATAAGTTATCATATATATATATATATATATATATAATCATTACATAAATTATCATAAATATTTTAAATGTCTACATATATATTTTGTATCAACACTCATAAATTCATAGTGGAACGAGGGTCTATTATAATATATGATCAATACATATGTGTAATTAATTTGTTATATATATATAATGTGTAATTATGTATATACAAAATTATTATCATACATATATTAATCATAGATTAAATATGTTTAATATGTTTTTAAATTATCAAAATTATAAGTTATCATATATATATTATCATTACTGTCTACATATATATTTTGTATCAATACCTATAAATCCATAGTGGTATGAGGGTCTATTGTAATATATGATCAATACAAATGTGTGATTAATTTAGGTTTAATTAAATTATTATGTTATTAAATTTGTCATCCTATATATCACTTGATTATACAATATGTTATGTTCATAAATTTGTCATATTATATTTAATTAAGTTATTATATTATTAAAATTGTCGTACTATATATCACTTGATTATACAATATGTTATATTCATCAATTTACCATACTATATTTAATTAAATTATTATGTTATTAAATTTGTCATGCTATACATCACTTGATTATACAATATGTTATGTTCATCAATTTACTATACTATATTTATTATTTATTAATTGAAATACTATCTCATAATATTCAATTATTGATTACATTTGGAAAAATATAAAACTATTATATTATTAGATTTACTATGTTATATATCACTTGATTATACAATCTATTATGTTATTAAATTTGTCATGTTATGTATCATAATAATTTATTTATTTTTAATTAAAATACTATATAGTTATATATTTAATTATTGATGACATTTGAAAAAAAAAATTCAAACATATTATATATATAAGAAAGCATCATAATATTTTATTATAGATTACCATTAAAAAAAAAAAATCATCCAAACTAAACCAAGCATAATATAAAAAAGAAAAAAAATATATAAATATATATAATAATGTATACCATGTTTTTCGAACATAAACGAACGAATAATCGAACATATTATTCGCGAACGGATGGATCAGTCAGTCGAACGTATTATGTTCGCGAACATAATCGAACGAACGTCCTATATTCGAACTCGAATCGAACATATTATCGAACGAATATCAAACTGTTCGCGAATAGTTTCTTATCGAGTCGAGTCGAACAGTTATCGAACGAACAGATCGGTTCGTTTGCAGCCGTACTCCCAATAAGGCCAAAACCTAACTGTTGCCATCTGCCAGTGGCCATGGGACACATCACCCACCACAGCAGAAAAAAACCAGCCTCCCAACTCATAGCAGCCCTCAACCCCTCCACCTACTTGCACTTGCACCTCTCCAGTTCACGGATGAACAATTGTTGCCCCTAATTTAAGCAACAATGTCTCAAATATTTTTAAAGGGTTGATTTTTAATTTTATTTGCCCTAATAAATAGTTAAGTTTCAAGGGTCATAACGATTTTATTAGATATTTTCCTAAAATTATCAAAAGCCCTCTCTAAAATATTATAAACCCCCTAAAAATATCAAAAAAACCAAATTAAGAGTGTATTTAATAATTTCCGAAAAGGTATTTTAAACTTATCTATCTCTAAAATAAACTCTCTTTTTTAAATTATATTTATATCTAAAGAATGAAGATAATGTTGGACTCTTGTTTTTATGGATAAAATCTTTAAAGAGTTTTTTGAAGATGCTCTAATGGTAACTAAATAAACTCTATTTTTTAAATCCAAACATGAATTTTAACATTCAAATATGCAAAGTATTTATTGTTAAACAAATTGATATTTCGATTAATTTTAAATTAATTTTGAATAAACTGATATGATATTGCATAATAATAGAAAAATAGGTATTTCAATAGGTGGAAAGATGATATTTCCAAATCAGCAGTGCCAAACTTCTTTTGCGAAATATAAGGCGTTGAAATGATATTCAGAAAGTAGCAGGCTTCAACTGAGTAGAGAAAATTGAGTTGCTCACCTCCACTTAGCTCAAGTAATATATTAATTGGTTATAAAAAGAGAACAAGAGCGACAGAGACAAAGACAGAGCCAGAGAGAGTTAACATAAAGATAATAAATGGGTTGGAAAGGGATTCTGGGTTTTGAATATGGAATTGTTCAGCGGCCATTGGGACCTTATATTTCAGGTCCAGAGCTTGTAGCTGCGGTTGCTAATGCTGGTGGGCTTGGTCTCTTAAGAGCCCCTGATTGGGTACTTCAAGTCTTTTCTCTTCCTTTTGAATATCTTCATCGTGTCTTGCAAATTATTGTTCGAAATTATATGAGTTGAGTATGGTATGCTTCAGTCTAATTTTCGAGCACTTCTATTGATTTTCTCAAACTTTTCTCTGATCAGGAATCACCAGAATACTTAAGGGAGCTAATAAGGAAGACCAGAGCATTAACGGACAAACCGTTTGCGGTTGGTGTTTTTCTGGAATTCCCCCATGAAGAAAATATAAAGGCTATATTGAAAGAGAAAGTTGCAGTTTTACAAATTTCATGGGGTGAATGTTCAAAGGAGCTTGTACACGAAGCTCATTGTGCTGGTGTAAAAGTTGTTCCCCAAGTGAGTATTGCAGCTGTTTTTATATGTCAGTCAAAATCCGTTTATTGAAATTCATATGGCATTTTGTCAATAAATTTGATAGCCCTGGTATGTAGTTAATAGGAAAGTACTCATTTATAGAGTTTATGTTGAGTATCAATCAGTCTATTCGGTTTTGTACTTACGAATTTCTCCAGATGTATTCAGTCTATTCGATTGGAGGTCGGGAGTTTCGAAGAAGCAAGAAAAACAATTGAAGCAGGTGTACATGCGATTATTGTCCAAGGACGTGAGGTATGAATTCCTTTAGGTTTCATAAGTTTAATATTGTTTCCATTTTCAATGAAATTGAAAAAAGTAATAGCTGCTACCAGCAGGATATTAATTACAATGTGATTTGATTTTGCATCCGTTACATGTTTTATGTCTGAATTTATAGGAAATAGTTTGTCTTGACTCTTTCTCTGACATTTAGATTTCTCATTTGGTTAAGGAAAGGAAACGCATATAATAGATTTGTGTTTTTTGATGGTCAAAGGGCACCCACTACCAGTCTTTTCCTTTGATGAATGAAGTGATTCTACTTCTATTTTAAGTCACAAAGACAGCCGCCTGATTGTATGATACGTAGTTGGTTGAAGTTTTGATCAAGCTGGTTGACAGATATATTCTTGGGAGGTATAAAAAGAAAACTCACTAAATATATCATAGAAAAACATATATGGATATAAGGTAGTGGGTCCAAAAATAGCATTCCGCTACTTGACGTCCCATCCGACCGCATCTCATCTACTACCTGCAAAAACAGTGAAATCAACGGGGTGAGTACTAATTGCTTAGTAAGTAAACCCACAACACTTCTATTCTTTCTCCATTACTCAGATTCTGAATTTTCTTTCCTTACACCAAGCTTCTCTATTCTTCTCTGTTTTCTATGATTCTAGTTTCTCACTTACCGATATGTAAGCACAAATATGGAAACTAACTCGGGATAGTAGAAATGGCATGATTCATATGCACACATGCATAAACTTTTCTATGCAGTGCATTTTCTCTTTTTTTATTTTTTCTGTTTTATTCTATTTTTCTTTCTTTTCTTTTCTGTTTCTATTCTTTCTTTTCTGTTTTTCTTGCTTTTCTATTCTTTCTTGCTTTTCTATTCTTTCTTTCTTTTCTTTTCTTTCTTTCTTTTCTTTTATTTCTTTGCCAATCGGACTCAGTTGAGGCATGGATTCGGAACCCTGGCCATGTGAGTGTACTGTCAAATTCTTTCTTGAGTACAGTCCTCATCCACATGCACTTTTTACAGACTGTATAAATTCTTCTTTTTTATTCTGAGGCCGCTCACTAAAGGCGGCGTGCATGCGGGGTTATTCTTCTCTGTCACTCATGGGCTTCCCATCGCAACAACCTTCTCTTCTCTTCTCTTTTTATATTTCTTTAAGTAAAATTTCATATTTGAATTGTTCTTTAATTATATTTCTTAAAACAATAATTCTACATTTAATTGTTTTTCTTTCTTTCTCTTTTTTCTTTAATGTTCTCATACATATATATGTTTATGTAAATATATTCATTCTTTGCTATTCTTTCTAAATGCAAATGCTCAAATGTATGAATGCATTATGGCATATAAAGATATCATTATGGAACTAATATTCTCTACCAACAACATTTTCATAACAAGATAATAATCTAACATACTTATATATGCACTTCACTTTGAAATTTCATCAAACACCATACATGCACATACAAACCTGAAAATTGGTTACACTTCCACATATCTCTTAAGTCACCAAAATTAGAGCAAACAACTCCCTAAAACCATCAATCAACCTAGCCGAATTTCATCCTCCACCTTTCTATATCCATTCTTTCATTTTTCATCCAAAATCCTATCAACTCAACACATACAAATACATCACTTCTCATCACATACCAATAAATCAATTCTCATCACATACTAATAAATCAATTCTCATCACATACTAATAAGTCATTTCCCATCATATACTAATAAATTACTTCTCATCACATATAATAAATTACTTCTCATAGCCATGAAATTCACATATCAAACAACCTCAATTTTCAATCCATAATTCTCATCATCCCACACAACAAATTAAAATTCCTCTCCAAAAATATTATCCAACCAAAGCTAAAGTTGGATTTACTTACCTTGAATTTGAGCAACTCCAACACTATAATCTCTCTTTGGTAGAATTCCCTTTCCTTTTAAACCCTAAGCATATAAAACCATAAGAATTCAAAACTTTAAAATTAAATCTCACATCTTGGTGCAAGAATCTTACCTTTGGATGCTTAGGATTGAAAATCTATCAAAATTTAGCCAAAATTCTATGAATTTCCTTGAAATTAGTGGAAGAAAAATTGAGAGAATTTGGGATGAAGGTGGCATGAACAATGGGTGTAGTGGCTAGTGTTTCAACTCTTGAACTCTTATTACTACATAATAATATATATAGTTTCCCATTTTACCCTTGCACTTTCTAGAAATTCCATCTATGTCCCTTAGCCAATTACAAAAATGCCCTCATTTTTATTAACTTCTCCATATTATTCTACTTCTTTTCACTCACTACTTTTTCAATTAATTATGAGTGAAAATATCATTTTACTCCTAATGAAGTTTTCAGGAATTTTCTTCAAACTTGTTCAAAATAACTTTAACAAAATTCAACTAAGGGTATTAAGGCATAAATAAAACTACGTACCTTAATGTGGGGGTTACAACGAGATATCATCAAAATATCAATCACATCGATCAAAAAGTAAGTACATTAAACCATAATTAAAACTAAATTCTAATATCCTGATTTTTAATAGTAATGTCACATAAAAAATATCACATAATAATACAATGCATCAATCAACAATAAATAAACATGATGATCTAATAATGATATCTTATTGGTACAGTTTTAAGGGAAACGGTAATAAATTTTTTGTTAAATATTCAAGTCAGATGTTGTGATGATGTAATAATATATCAATTAATACAAAATATATCAATGCATCAATCAACAATAAATAAACATGGGGATCTAATAATGATATCTTATTGGCACAGTTTTAAAGGAAACGGTAATAAATATTTTGTTAAATATTCAAGTAAGAAGTTGTGATGATGTGATAATATATCAATTAATATAAAATATTTATACGGTTCGACATTGGTCTTGTTTAATTGTTTATGTTTTATTAAGTATGTTAGTTTGTTAATTAAAATTTTGTTGATTCACATCAGAATATATTTTGACTTGTTTTGTTTAATTAGGAATACAAAAGAAACAGATGGAATATGAATAAAGATGTTATAACAAATAAATATGGTTGTTTAAGAAGAATAAGTTCTAACTGGCATGAGTTTAATAGAAAGGATAAGAAGAATAAATTGGAAAGGTGATAAAAATGTATATGCATGAAAATATGACATTGAATATCAAAGACATGTCTACAAAAATAATATCGATTATAAGATTAGACCATATAATATTTAGGTAGTCTTCTCAACTTGCATAAGTGATTTAATAACATCTGTGTACAATTGATATTAATAATTATATAGGTATAATTATTAATTTTATCTTAACATCTGGTCAATGACTTCTCTGAATTTGTGTTAGTATCACTTTAATATTACGTAAATTATTTATTTAAAATTTAAAAGTATTTATTTGTTTTTTGAGAATACAAAAGGTGATTTGGCAAAACGAATAAATGTCTAGTAATAAGTAAACATATTGATTGAAAAAAAGGTTAATAACTTTTTGGATAAGAGAATACAAAATGGTAGCAAACGTAATAAATATTTTGTTAAGTATTCAAGTCAGAAACGTCATGATGATATTATAATATATCGGTAACTGTGCTCCAAATGGATGTTATTGTTCAGCGTGCGATTTAATTTGATTGATAAAAAAAATGATTTATCTTAACATGGTAATGACTTTTCTGAATTTGTATTGGTATCACTTTAATATTATGTAAATTATTTATTTAAATTTTAAATTTTTTTTTTTTTTTTTTTAGAATACAAAAGGTATTTTGGGAAAACGAATAAATGTCTAGGAATAAGTAAACACATCGATCGACAAAACGTTAATAAGTTTTTGAATAAGAGAATACGAAACGGTAGCAAAAGTAATAATTATTTTGTTAAGTATTCAAGTCAAAAACGTCATGATGATATTATAATATATCGGTTGGATAGTGAATAATGGTTCAGCAACTGTGCTCCAAATGAATGTTATCGTTCGGCGTGGGATTTAATTTGGTTGGTAATAGAATGAAAGTTTTTTTTGATGTACGATAGGAATGTTTATTTATACATTTTGTTAATTTATATTATAATATATTTAAATTGATGTTTGTCAAACATGTGTAGACAATCCAATGAGTTTTAATTTGTATCTTCAGAATAAATTAAAAAGTATTTAAATTTTTACATGTGTAATAAATCATATAAGGAACTCACTAAAGAATATATTTCATACATACTATTTGGTAATCTTCGTTCCATCTTGGACATGTGATATTTTCTAGTGACATTGATATGTCCCAATGTATATGATTTTGATTCACTTTGTCGCAAATCCGAAATATTCTCCTTTTAATGAGAATTGTCACAGTTGGAGTCATGGACTTGAATACTTCCTTGCAATTTTTCAGTTTGTGGAATTGATTGATTAGTTTCACTAATTTCATTAGAATTTTTACACCTCTACTGTTGTGCATAGTGATTAGAGCAACGGCAGTCTGATACATTGCTTGCTGGTAATTTTGTTTGCAAAATGCAATAAGTAGTTGTAATCCTCTGTTTCTAGCATGTTCCACGAAGAACAAATGTGTTCCAAGCAGTAGTGAAGCATGCTTATTTTCTGCTTTTGCAAGGGTCTTCAAAATTGAAAGTCCCGCCATTGGTATTGCTAGTAGTTTGTGTCGTTGTTTGAAGATGTTTCTTCTATGTAAGACTTGCTTTACGTTTGTCTGTTTGTTTAGAGATTTGTACCTGTAAATTGTAAGGTAAATAATGGTTTTCAAACACAAGTTGCACAATAATTAAAAAAAAAAAGTGTTTTCCAAACACAAGATCCACAACAACAGCAAAAAAAGTGTAAATAATAGTTTCAACAATTGGTAATCATAATATCATACCTGTATGATCAAGAAGTTAACAATAAAAAGTGTGAAAAATATGGTTTTGTTAAATATCAATTCTAACATGTATTTTGGTTTTAATGTATTGGAAAATTGTTAAGAACTAAAGACACAAGTGATTCGGCATAATCCGTTTCAATTGTTAGGAGCAGAGGTGGAAAAATAACCCGTCCAACCCAACCTGGCCTGGCCCGCGGCTGGCTGTAAGAATTGGTAGACCCGGCCCACCAACAAGGGCGGGTCGGGTTAGGCCCGCCTCTTGGCCATAAAGGCTGGCCCAGCCTGGCCTGCCAACCCTAACCCAACAGGTTTTGGTGTGGCTCGAGCCAGGTTAGCCCATAATATTTTTTAATTTCTTTCTTTTGTGTAATTGTTTTACTTTTTAGTTAACTTTTCAAATATCAATAATTCAATTAAATTATTATTTTTTTTTTTTTTTTTGTTAACATTTCAAATATTAATTCAATTTTAATACAATAAACTGTAATATAAGAAAAATTAGATTTATTATTTA